GGAGACGCTGTTGGGATTGATCCCAAACACAGCCTCCCTGACTTTCTCCTTACTCGGGAGGTCACAGAGGCCGACAAGGTCGACCGAGTGCGGGATGGTCAGAAAAAGGGTCGAGTCGGGGTTCGTAGAGAGCGTAAGTAAGCCCGAGCCGACTCTCGTATTTGGGACTCCTGGATAACGGATGACCCATTATCCTCGATACTATGGATATACGACTTGACTCGCTTCTGCCTTACAAATCCCTGGAAGAATTTTGTATTACGCTCCCCCTCAGCCACCCAGTGCACAACAACCTTCGGCTTCCAGAAATCCTCCTCCATGAGGAGGCGCAATTGGTACTCAGCATGGCTGCGACGCATCTCGGACCTATTCTCTGGCGAAGAATCCAGATCATAAGTCCGTTAAGCCTCCACATACGTATTCTGAGCTGCAGTAAGACACTAAGAAATGTCGCCAAAAGTCATCCAGTACCACTGCTTCAATACGCGGCAGAGTCTCCTGAGGTTCTCCTCCAGGTTGCGCATCCCATAGAGGTGCGTAGCCTGCTGCCACGAAGCTCTAAGAATATCATAGTAAGAATGGTTGCAGACCCACATGTTCTGGAAACAAAAGGACGCTCACCAAGGGAAAATAGAGAACCGACACCGAATCAGAAGGGTGGCATGGTCGGATCCAATTCGAGGAAGATGTGTTACAACCGTGGTCCCAAACACCCTCGTCCACGCCTCTGAGTATAGAGCACGGTCGAGCCTCTCCTTGACTCCGGCCCTCTCCCACATAAAGGGAGCCCCTTCGTATTCAGCATCGGTTAGCTCATAGTCTGATACAACATGCGAGAAATCTAAGATCTCCGCAGGGCGGTCGAATACTCCACCAATGCGTTCATCGAGATGTAAAAATATGTTGAAATCACCGCTAACCATCCACGCTAATCTCGCCATACTCTCAGGAATCTCACGCATGGTGTCCCAGAGATCATAACTACCAACCCTCGCACAGCTGGCGTAAACCAAGGTGTGGAAGATTGGCTCTGGAAAGTGGGCGGCGGTGAGCTTCACGTGAAAGACCTGATCAGTATCTCGAAGGATCTGACAAGTAAAGTCACGCGAGTGGAAAAACCAAATATTGTTAGAGTTATTGCCCATGCCGGCATGAAATCCAAGGCGGCGTGAGTATGCGTCAAAGGAGGGGTCACAATTCATAGGCTGTAATAAAGCTACAAAGTCAAGGTTATGCTCACGGATGAGAGATTTAACATGAGCAAGGGTGGTCCTATTAGCCAGACCACGGGCATTCCATGTAAGCGATGTGGCTGACATGTCAAACGTCAGTGGATCTGACTAACTGCAGCTGTCCATGGTTAGGTTGTGTCTTTAAGTCTGGTAGAGACAGAACTCGGCTAGCAGAGAGCTGCGCAGTCATCGATCTGATCGGTGGTCTCTGGTGCTCTGGGATCTCCTAGGCAGGGCCCTCTCGCATAAGAGGAAACTCTGGGGGTAGGAGATGAGTTGTAGGTGCTCCAAGCCATCCGATCTCTGCGCCTGGCCTTGTGGAGAATACAGACCAGACTTGATAGTGGCGGATGAGGGGAAAGTAGAAGGTAGGGTCAGAAGGGGTCGAGCTGGTGGGAGATGGAGAGGCTCAGGCTCAGACAATGAGGTAGGGTTTGGGGGGGGGTCTAAGACCATGAAAGTTGTGGAGGAAGGGGGAGCCTCAATACACAATGGGATGGAAGCAGACTCGTGTTGGGATCAATGAAGATCTCGTTGTGCACAAATCACGAATTCAATAGCAAAACGTAAACCTATGCGTAGCGGATCTAAAGGTTTGCGTATAGAACTTACGGCTTAAAATTTATGGCGATCTGGCTGATCTTCTGGATGGCCATACAAAACACACCATGATCGGATTACACGAACAAGATCAGATCAAAACTGGATCAAACGAGTGCAAAATGGATAAAGACAAGTTGCAGTCCTGGGACCTTGCGGAAGCTTGTGTGGGCGCATGGGTGGTCGGACGGCTGTGATCTCGGCGGTGTTGAAAAGCACTCATTGAGACGGTCGTCTGCGTATGCTGCACGTCTTGATCGGACCTCCAGTTAGCTGCGACAAAATATATTTCGTCTCACTTTACCCAAAGATCTTCAACTGTATATCTCAAACACCTCTTAATGTTGTACCAGTGGAACAACAAGAAGAAGATGAAGCTCGAATGGGAACTGAGAGAGAGAAGAGAGGCCAATTTACAACATAATATTATTGAAGCTCGAAGATGAAGCTCGAATGGGAACAACAAGAAGAAGATGAAGATTAATTAAATAATATTAAACAGGCCACCAACATAATATTATTGAACTCCATTTTCCTAGCCCAATTTACAATTAAGACTCGAATAATAATTACTCGATTTATCTCCCCATGTTTAAGATATAATGTCCATTAATTAATTTGATTACTAACAATCAAGAATTAATTAATTTATAATTATTTCACTGAAGCTAGCGCTCGTTCATCACATTATTACTATGCCGGAATTTAATCCACCTGCAGGATTTAGCATAATAATCCTTCATGAACTCACTCCGGGGAAATCATCAAACTAACGCACATGGTTACCGTAAATATCCTAACATGACATCCTACATGTAGCAATATTACCCAAGACAGAGGGTCTATTGATCCAGTTCACTAAGCCTCACCCATGTGAATCAAAGTAATAAATACTACACATATATGTCTGTTTAATATCTTACGGGTTAAGAGTACGCAGTAACTAACCGAGGCCTAGTTCGTTTACGATGATTAGTATAAAACGAACTGCTCCTCTCTGGGATCATGTTCAATACATAAATGTACTAGTGCAACTAATCAGTCAAGATAAACTGTACAATTGACACTACAATCGTTCGTGATGGAGTGTTCATGTCCGTCGTCGTGTCCATCTGCAGCTTTGCCGAGAAAATTTCAGTTCGCCATTTTCTTTCGCGTGAGCAGCTTCTGACCAATTCCACCATCGGCGTCCTCGTCATTTTCTTAGCAGCCTGTCTCAACCACGAGCCGTCGATGGTACACTACCAGAGGTACCACAGAGGCAGCCCGATAGTTGTCGAGACCCCGCAGCAACGTCCCGTTTGTTGTAGAGTCTTTCATCAAGCTTTCATTTATGTTCGACCCATTGTCTGGCCCGTTTTTCTTCTGATAGCTCGTAGATTCCCGAAGATGGGTAACTGTTTTGAACCATCTTGTTATTTCGCACGTGCTCGTATATCATAAAGTTAGATGTATACCGTGCTCGTCGATCGAATCCTTGCTTGAAATCGATTTAATTGTTGGTTCGTATGTTCGTTGTTTATTTCGTATGTTCATGGATTATTCAAGGATGATAGGAACTTTCGATTTCGTAAAAATGAGTATCGTAATGTTGCTGTGATTATTTTGGTTTGTTGCGGAGTATCAATATTATTGTTTCAAGTTGTCGTTATACTGTTCGTTTGTTTTTAAAACAGCTTATTTCCATTTCGACTTTCGACCCTCTAGAACTAGCTTTTAATGGTTTTTGAAACTTTGTAAATGTGTTATTTTCGTAGATGTTTTATATTCTCGACCCGGTTGTCGTTGGTAATGTCATCGTCGAGTTTGGGTGAAAATTATGTCAGTCTGCTCGCGATTTTCACAGCTTCTGTTATAATGTCCCCGACTCTTTTCTTTATTTCAATTCGCAGGGCTTTGTTTTTAATTTGATTTCATAAAATTTGCATCTACGCGTGTGGTGCACTGGTGTACACACTCATTTTCGTGTTTGAGGTCCGGGGTTCGAACCCAACCCTTGTTATAGCCATTTCTTTCCTGTTCATTGATTTTTCCAGTAGCGCGAGCTGTGAAGCCCACATTAGGCCCGCGCGCAGCCCATTACCAGTCAGCAATCACTGCCCGCAAGCCCGATTCTGGCCTATGTGTGAGCCCGTGTTGTCGAGCCCTTAACATAAATTGGAAGGCCTGATTTTTGGCCACTCTATTTTTCACTATCGGTCCAATTAGCGCATGTTAGGCCCAGTTGTAGCATAACAGTCCAATTCGGCTTTTTACCCAATTTTTGTTTTCCGGAGCCCAATTTTCGACCCGAACTCAATTGTAAAAATGTTTATAAAAGTAGAAAAAATTGGAAAAATTATTTTAAGTCCCGAGATCCAATTTTGGTTCTCCGAGTCCTATTTTGCAAAAATAAGATAGTTCCAAGTCCATGAAAAATTTGATTAAAACCCTTAATCCTTAATTTCAATTAAGTGTGGGTTTTATGTTAAATTCGAGTAGTGAGTCATCTCCGTGGCTGTTATTTTCAAATTCACGTTTCGATTTTTCAGTGATAATCATTCTCCCCTCTCTACCACATGTTCTCCCGCTCGCCTATAATATCTGTGCCAAGAAGTCTTCTGCGGAGAATCATTCAAAAGCTAATAGAAGCTCCCAGCAATCAACTCTGCTCTCATCTTCTTCGTTCAAAGAATATATATATATATATGTCGCAGCCATTGTTACCGGCGGACCACCATCATTTCTGGCCGACCACCATCATTTCTGGTGACCACCTTCCACTGTAGAGAGCCCATCGTCTGTCCATCTGCAGCTTTACCGAGAAAATTTCAGTCCGCCATTTTCTTTCGCGTGAGCAGCTTCTGACCGATTCCATCGCCGGCGTCCCCGTCATTTTCTGAGCAGCCTATCTCAACCACGAGCCATCGACCGTATGTTGCCGGAGGTACCACAGAGGCAGCCCGATAGTTGTTGAGACCCCGCAGCAACGTCCCGTTTGCCGTAGAGTCTTTCATCGAGCTTTCATTTCCGTTGGGCCCATTTTCTGACCCGTTTTTCTTCCGATAGCTCGTAGATTTCCGAAGATGGGTACCAGTTTTGAACCATCTCGTTATTTCGCACGTGCTCGTAAATCATAAGTTAGATGTATATTTTGCTCGTCGATCGAATCCTTGCTTGAAATCGATTTAATTGTCGGTTTATGTTCGTTATTTATTTCGGTTTGTTTTGGAGACTCGATATTATTGTGTCTAGTTGTCGTTATACTGTTTGTTTGTTTTTAAAGCCGCGTATTGCCATTTCGACTTTCGACCCTCTAGAACCAGCTTTT